AATGATTAAGTATCAAAATTTTACTTATGTTATGCTGTGTTGATGATATTTCGAAACATTAAGATAAAAAAAAATTGCATATAAAGTGGTAAGTAGGCAAGAAATATTATGGGTATAAGGAGGGAGGTGAGAGGAGTTGAAAATTACGCGATAAATAAGATGAAAGAGTATATAAGAAATAAGAGGGAAGAAGAAGAAGAAAGCAAGGAGATAGAAAAGGAGCAGAAGGATGAAGGTGGAGGAGAAGGATGAACAGACGGAGAAGGTGTAAGAGGGTATATTAAATATATACAATTTATTGAAGGTGGAATTGAAAGGAATTGAAATAAAGCACGAAAACGGAGAAAAATAAGAAAATTTAAGTACATGTACGAGAAAAAGATGAGAAAGAAAATGTAACGCAGGGTTGGATATACTTAAATACATGCACATACATAAATATATATATTTTTTTTAAATTAATGGAGTTATCGATTTCTATTTTCCTTTTTTTTTCCTGTGGTTAGAGGATTTGCAATTTTTTTTTTTGTTTTTATTCATTCTTTTAAAGATTTCTAATTCATCGCGTTTTTGTCTTTTTTTTATAATATACATATACATATATATATATATATATATACATATACATATAATATACATTTTTTTATACACATATATACGTTGTAGTTTATTCAACTCAAAACTGAATGAAAACTGAAATGCTGAATAATATTATAAAATATTGGCTGCTATATTACGGTATAAGTATACGATATACATTCGATATGAATATAGCAGCGAATTGGTTATAGCTTTAATATTTAAAATTAGTTTCGAAAAATAATTTGGTTTTTCCTAATAATATGGGCTCAAAACAATTATAATAATTGCTTCGATAAAACGCCTTCGAACGACGATTCTAACAAATATTTTTACGTTCTGTTCAGTTTTTGGTTTTTTTCTTGTATTTCTCTAAAAGATTATTTAATTTTGATTTCTTTCCTTGTTTTCTTCAATAGAATACTTATGGTCACATGGTTCTAGGTTCTACCTATTGCAATTTGAGTAAATTTTGATTACTGTATGGAGTATTGAGTTGCCTTACATTTTAAAACTCTTTCAAGTTTATTTTTCCATATAGTTATTCGATGTGAACCTCTTCAAATGTTCATAAATGTGTAACTATATGTGACTGGACTTTCAATTACGTTTAGTCCAAAATTTAAAAATATTAAATTTTGGACTAAAAAAATAATATTTTAAAATTATTACATTATTTTAAATTTTTGACATAAATTTGTAAAATTTTGAAAACAAATATTACATTGTCAATATTATCTATTAAAGAGATTGTTTTTAATTTCTTTTAATTGAAAATTTGCGAAAAGTAACAAGTATATGTATGTATTCTGTCAAATTTAAATTTTAAAAAAGAAATTCTGTTCTAAAGTTTATGAGGCATTAGATTCAGGTCTATTTTGTTCTTCTTCATTCATTGACATTACAAAGGCCTTTGGTCTTGTTGATCATAATATTCTTTTGTATAAACTTTATTGGTTTAGGTTTTACCTATATCTGATCGTTGACGAAGAGTTAAAATTAATAGACCTTTTGACAAGTATGGGGTTCTTCCTCTGGGCGTTGCTTTGAGCCCAATTCTGTTTTTAATTTACATTAAATCCCTATTCCTGCAACCCTTCTATATAATTAACCTACTGCCTTTGCAGACGATAATGTGTTTGATTATGTATAAGTAAAAATTACTCTAGAATTATTTCAAATTGTAAACTTTGACTTGTACATTTAAACTGTAGACTTGTAGCTTTAAAACATTTTTTTGTATTGTTCAAGCAATATTACCTCAATAGTATATTTTCTATTCAAAACTTCAGTACTCGTATGTAAGAGTTTGCTGAAGTGACTCATATTTTAACAGTTTGCAGCCGCTATTAAAAAGTCAAAAACATGCCATTAGATTAATTTGTCGTTTTACTTCTAATTTTGACTTATTTAAACGAAAAAGAATACTCCCTGTTAGAAGTCTTTATTTTTTTAGAACCTTGACAATTTTTTAAACGACTCGTTAACGTTCCAAGTCATAGAAAGTCTCAATTTTGTAATTTTTATTATTTTTTGGTGTTTGAGTTTTTAACAAGCTTCCAATCGATATATGGAGCATTCTTTAATTGTCTCATACTTTCTTTCGAGAAACTAAAATCTGGTTTCAAAGTCAAAGTTTTGAGGCAATTGAAAATCTTTTAAAAGTTATTTTCTAGATGTATTAATTAATATTTTTTTTTCTTTCCCGTATACTACGATATTTGAATTGTACTTCATATGCAGATTGTTTTTTAAATCTGTACTTTTTGTTCTGGAAACAATTTGCTATTTAGAATTTGTGTTTTTAAAATTACTTAATTGATTTTTTTTTAAATTTCTATTCTAGTTATTTTACAAATTTTCCAACTATTTTCTATTATAATTGATTAGTTTAAGTTGTTATTTAAATTAAGATTTGAAATAAAGATTCAATTAAACTAAAAAACAAAACCACAAAAAAACGAATGAATGCATTTAAGAAGAAGTACAACAATTTTAATACACGAAATCTAATTAAAGAGAGCAATTGACAAGGAAATACTTAAATGCCTAAAATTATCGTCAAATCCATTTCAAGTGTCTCCTAAAAATCTAGTGCAAAATGTGCTTAACAATATTTAGAATGAAATATGACTAAAAAAATAAGGTATAAACAGAAACTAATAGCTTAATCATTATTTCTTCCAGAAAATTCATCAGGCTTTTAATAATGGCAATTAAAACAAAAAAACTGAAATTTTAAAATTATAGACCATATACTAATATTTCTTTACATGACTATATACATGAATTCGATTTTTATTATATGTTCGTAAAAGTATAGCAATGCTAATACTTCTTTTGACCCTACACACGTGAATATTATTACAACTTTTACACAATCTCTAGAACAAAACAAAAACAAAACTGAATTCACGTTCACTATATTTTTTTAACACTGCAGTATGTACAAGAACTATGGGTTTTATAACAATCGCAAAGAACTAGAATTGAGAAACTTATAGAGTTGCATTTAATTTTTTTTATAAATAAATATGCAAAATGTATGCATAATCATGACATAGTTTTATTTTATATTTTGTACATGATCTAAGAAGTGATATTTTCTATTTTTCTTAGTTTATATAGAGCTAAAACATCACTTACCACGTTTAAAATTCAAAAAAAAAAAAAAAAAAAATAAAAATATACCTGGTTTAAAAGGAAAAATGCTAAAATTTTTCTTAATAAAGAATAAAAAGAAACCATGTGGACTTAACAATAATAAAAAACACACAAATACGTTAACCCTTTAACGCGTTTATAGCTTTGGCTGTTAAATAAATAAATTTTTAATATTTTATTTCAAAAAAATGAAAAGCCCTATAGTTGAAATTTGTCCCACTCGATGAATTCGTGTAAAAATGTGACACCTAGAAAACTGTTGCCATACTCAATTGCTATGACTGGTAAAAAAAATTTTCATTCTTGTGTGAATTAGAGCCCCACATTCTTTTTCCCATAAAATGTATACTGATATCTCTTCCCTCTGCCTCTGACCGTAATCTCAAAGAAATTCTGTATCAAGTTAAATTTTTTCTATAATATCCTTGTATGATTCATTCATTCTATAAATACTTGATTTACACAAAAGTATAAACTAGGACATAGGTTAATTTTATATCTGAATGCCATCAGATTTTGCATAATATTCATAATACTATGTCCTATATTTATACTATTATACGTTACTATACATTATATTGTGATGAATTTTAAGTTGTAAGTTTTAGTGTTTTATTTATAACAATAATTAACAGCAATACCTCATGACGTATTGATGTAAAGAAAACGAAATGGTCAATATCTAAAAAAAATAAATTTATACACCATATTATATAAAGAATGTAAAAGATATGTAAAGAATAAAAAGTATACAGGTTAAAGGTTGAGAAAAGCCTGACTTTTAGATGTCTTAATTTTGAGGAACACATCATTTTCTGACAATATCACTATAGTTTTTGTACTTTTTTCTTATATCTTTTCTTGGTTTACTGTTCTTTTTTTTTCTTTACTAAGAAATGATTTTTTATTTATATCCATACGAACGTATGTTGGAAGGTTATGATAAATTTGCCTTAACATTTGTAACGCTAAGAAATAAATAAAAAATAATGGTCTAACATATAGACTCAGATATATGTTATTGATGAGCATCGAATTCTGTATCGATTTAACCATGTCTGTTCGTCTATCCGACCGTCCTTCCCAACGATGATTCAAAAACTAATTGATCTAAAATTTCCAAATTTTTACAAATGATTTATTATAGTAAATGCCGGAAATCTATTTAAATTGGGTATGATCGAGGTACTAGTTCCGGTAGCGGTCCTATAACTTCAAAAGTTATTTAGCTATATCTCAGAAATTACAGAAGTTATGGTAATGAGGGCTAATGTTCTTGATAAACGTCGTTGAATTTACTTGGCTCTTTCTGGTAGCTGCTATACACTTGAAAAATTATTTGGCTGTATCTTAAAAACTATTCAATTACAGTACTGAAATTTGGTAAAATGGCAACTATATTCGTTTAAAGTTGTTAAGATGCCATAAGCGCTTTTGATAAACTCTAACTTTTGGTGTAACTCCAAATGTCCATGAAAATGAGAAATCAGCTTTTGTTGGGGATAGCATGACTATTTCAACTGTCAACGAAAGAGATGTTATAGAGGAAATCAGGCCTCTTAAATTAAAAAAAGCTCCGGGCTTTGACCTAATAACGCCTGATATTTTGAAAAAATTACCCAAAAGGGGTATAACAATGTATTACGCGCCTAATAAATACGCATATAAGGTTTAATTACGTGCCTGACATTTGGAAAGTTACAGAGATAATTGTGTTGCACAAACCTGGTGAATCTATAGACAAGGCGACTTCTTACAGAGCAATCTCACTGTTGCCGATGATTTTGAAACTGCTATACAAATTTTTATTGAGAAGGCTTCAGCCAATAATTGAAAGTAAAAAGTTAGTGCCGAATCATCAATTTGGCTTTCGCCGGAACCAATCAACCATAAATCAGAATCATCGAATAGCTGACCTAATAAAAAACTCACTGGAAGAAAAATTTATGTTCTATCATAGTTTTGGACGTAGCCCAGGCCTTTGGTAAGGTTAAGCATTGTGGATTAATAAAAAAACTTAGGCAATTAATACCAAGGCAGTATGTTAGCCTGCTCGAATAATACCTGACTAATAGTGTATTTCGAGCTACACAAGAAGAGAAGTACATTTCGCTTAAGAATATCAGGTCGGGGGTACCACAAGGGAGTATATTGGGCCCGATATTATACTTGTCATACACGTGTGATATTCCTTAATCGGATGGAGTGACAACAGCTACGTTTGGTGATGATACAGTACACTCGCAATTGGACAAAATGAAAATAAATCTACACATAATAACAAAAGCCCAGTGATGAGATATCAAAATGAACTAGAAAGTTTAATATAAAACTTAACAAGGTGAAATCAGTGCACGTGAATTTCTCTAATGGGGAAATTGAAAATTCATTTTCGGTTCGGAATGACGTCTTAATTCCGTTGGCAAACACGGCGAAGTATTTGGGAATGACATTAGACGCAAAGCTTAGATGGAAAGAGCATATAAAAAAAAAGAGATCTCAACTCGAAGAGGAATACAGGAAGTTTAAATGGCTTTTGGGAAGGCGTTCTTCGTTGTCAATATACAACAAAGTTTTGATTCAATTATGGGGCTGCTCTGTTCAGTCTCATATTCAATCTATTCAAAGATTTTAAAATAAGGTATTACAAGACATTATAAACGCCCCCTGGTATGTCCGTAATGCCGATTTTTTTGAATCGAGATTTTTCACCTTTCCTCCCGGTAAAAAGAAAAAAAACAAAAACAAAAAAACATCAGAGTGGACACGATAGCTATTACCTTTTTTACCGATCTCATTGTGCATGCAATAAGGTAGGGATATGATAGCAACAAATTTTGCATATTGAGTTTTCGGTAAGAATGCACTTCTCCGTGGTAGGGGAGTGTAAATAAACTATTTTTAGCAATTTGTCGGTCTGTCGGTCTTTCTGTCTGTTGGCGCACGAGTGTACCTCAAGTTCGGCTGAACCGATTTCCATCAAATTTGTTTTGGCTATGTCACGGATTAATCAACTTTTGCGATATATCAGATCTTGGAAATTGGACTTTCTGCGGGCCAATTTTAAATAATATCAAGAAAAATAATCAACCGAATTCCTACAAAGCGAAACTTACATTTTTCTAAAGATTTTTTTTAATTTAATTCGTTTATTCTAAATTTATTTCATCATTTATATTTGTATAAATTTATTTGGATTCATCATTGGGATTTGTTAAACGCTTGTTAAGGGAGTTAAATGAAATCTATATTTTGAAGCCCATGTATTCGTCTTAAGTTCATTCCCATCAAGAATATGCCTCACAATTTTGTCGTCTTTTTACAATATTCATATTAATAGGATCGAGTCAATTCAGAAGAATTTTTTTTTACGATTTGCGCTTCTAATGATAAAAAATATGATTCCGTCACCTTCCTTGACCGAATCATATTTTTATTCCTCCTTATGAGAGCGGGCTCAAATTGATTGACTAACCCATTTTAAGTAAGAAACATGATGTAGCGGACGTGGTATTCATTTTTCAACTTACGAAATCTGTTATGATTTCTCCCAATGTTTTTAATAAGATCGTCTTCAATTCTAATGTTAGGTCTCGTTATATTGATCTTTTTGTAGTTTCATAGAACTAATTATGGGAAACACGAACCCATCAGTGGAATGTTGAATCTGTGTAACAAGTTCAAGAACAAATCAATTCACACTAACAAAGGACACGATAAAAAAACTCCTGTTTTCTTGTAGAAAATTCATTCCGTTTCTATAGATGATTCCAACTTAATTAATAAAAATACATGTATTGTAATATTAGAATATCTGTAGTATTTCGTCATATCCAGAAATCCAAAAATATGAATTTTAATGATAATGCAGTAACCCTTCTTAATATTATTTTCTATATTCCTAATTCAAGAACATTGCTTAGGCGTGATAAAAGTTCATAAAATGCAATGACCAAATATGTAATGATGAAATGCATAAAGTTGACCTTCAACTTTTTAGATAAAATTTATATAAATTTTATACATTTTGTTTAATCTATATTACACACCATTGTTACATAGTATAATGAGCAGATTTTTCTTAATCTATTTCTTCAAATTTTGAATGGTGATGGGTTTGCGTAATTCCTAAAAACCAAATCCATATTAATTGACAGTTGTGTGGGGTATATTATACTCGTATATCCCATTGGTTTGTGTTTTTAATCTTCTATAATAATAAACTAGCCCAATGTTGTATGCTAGCTTTGTTTGTTTGTCGGTCGGTCACACTTTTAATGACATGTTTGAATGGCTCTAACATAAAAGCGGCTTAACGTAGAAAGCTGGGGTTTAGACCTTTAGACACAGCTCGCCTTCGGGAAAGTTTGAGTGACTTTTTTGAGTAATTTTTTCTAGTGTATTTTTTAAAGGATTTTTTAAAGTGACTTTTTCAAGTGATTTTTTGAGTGATTTTTTGGTAATGTTCTCATGGTAGAAAACTGGGGTTTGGTCTTTTTTAGTTGGAGTTTTTTTTCAAGTGATTTTTTAAGTGATTTTGTCAAGTGAGTTTTTTGAGTGATTTCCTTGGTAATTGTTCCAATGAAAATTTTGATTTGAAAAAAAAAAAAAGAAAAAATTAATAAATAAAAATAGAAAAAAATGTCATCGTTGACCACGAATTTTTTTTGTGACTTTAAACAGCTTTCGAAAAAAGTAATCAAGGCAACTTTTTCACAAAGGTTTATACTATCAAAGTGAAACATTAAAGTCACTCGAAAAATTTCACTCTTAATTGTTATTGAAGTTAAAAAGTCATCATTAAAAAATATTTTAAAAAATCAGTCAAAAAATACTAACAAAAGTATTAAAAAAATTACTAAAAATAGCACTTGGGCGTTTCCGTCGAACACCGGGCAGAGGGGGGGGGGGAGGGGGGAGGGCTTGCACCATCACGATAAGGCTTTACTGATAATAATAATATTATATTTAAATAAGAATATAGCCTCAAATATTTCGATTTTTCATTATTAAGCCCATTATATAGGGCATTATTTCTAATATTTTATTTGAATAGATGAAGGCAATGTTATTGTGAATGCCAGGTATTTTATTGAAGATTGGTTTTTTCAACTACTCTATTCGGTATTTTCGTTGAGTTACCCTGTATAAAAATTTTTGTCTTTTTATTGTTTAATATTTTTTGAAAATTGAAAAAAAATTTACCTGGAAGTAAGTTTTTTTTTTAATTTTTTTTTCTTATTATATAACAAGTAAATATTTTAAATTGAAAAGGAGAGATGTAAAAAATAATAAAACTATAGCTTGTCATTGAAGCAATGAACAAACAATCTAAAATTATACAAAATAACACATACATGTGTACATGTGTATGTTGTAATAAAAATGAATAAAGATGCATAAATGTTTACAAAATATTTGTATGTACAATTATATGCATTATGCAAATTGGCTAATAAATACACATATATACATACAAGTATACATATACGATAACGATACTTATTTTATTATTATTTTGGTTCAGTTAATTATAAAATTTTAGTATAATAAATAATTGATATTTTTTAATTTACTCCTTCTAAGAAGCAGCAAAGAGCTTCTACAGAACCTTCCCATCGTTCTCTATTTTGAACTATATGTTCTTGATCTGCCTCACAGTTTTAATTTGACTCGATATTAGTTCTACCAATTGTTATGCTTTTCAGGAGATTCTACAATGTACAATGTTTTTGCTAATTATATTATTTTTTCGTTATTTTAGAATTCGATTGACTATTTTCGTTATTTTAGAATTTGTTATGATTCAAAGATATGACTCGTGAAAACCTATAAATGTTGTAAATCTTACGCGGCAGTTGAATGTTTTTACTTTGGTAACTTTTGAATATTTTGTAATTTTGCAAATTTTCCATAATTTCGTGAACGTTGTCTTGTTGTTATAAAGATGTTTAAGTAATTGAATTTTTGCACTTTTGTTTTAGTTTAGTTAAATTATTTGAGATTCAGGATTGTTTGTAAGCCGATACAAAACAATAGACCGACATCTCACTAGAAAAAATTGTGTTGCCGCCATAACGCAGCAATACATAGCATTTACTCCGGAAAAATCGACTTCTTCGAATATTAAAGCTATGTATTTTTAACGAATCGGAAATGGACAATCTGCGATTCATATCAAAATTTGGGATTCGAAATAATAATAATTTGAAAATACAAATCGATAAATTGTTAAATAGAAATGAATTTATATCGAAATCGACATAAATTTTTGAAGCTAGAAACAAATTTAAGGAAAAGGGCATATACATTTTATATGGGGGTACCATAATATATGGTAGAGGTCAGATGTTAAATTAATTTTTCCAGCATAAAATTGGATACATATTCAAATTCATGCTCCTATTTTAGATCTTATGAGTGTGTATTAGGGAATTGTTCACTGAGAACAATATCTATAGAAGAATGTACAATATATGTATATGTATAGAGAAATCTTTTTTATCATTAATAACACAAAGCGTCAGGTATATTTTAATTGACACAAATCATCTTTTAAAAAAAGTGTTTTTTTATTTTTGAAAACCTTTGCCGTTAATAATTTTTTATGGAATTCCTCCACCATATATTTTCGTCTTTTATTCAGTTAAGAGATAACAAGACTTTAAAAAATATATAAAAAAAAAATCGCTTTCAATATTAATGAAGAATTCACTCTTTTCTGGCAGTGTACAGGTGCGGCTTGTTAGTTATCCCTTTTCTTTATTTCAAGCAGTTAAAATATAAAGAAAAACAGTAAAACTATCAAAATAAAATTTAAAAGAATACAACATTGGCTGACTATTCGGTTACTTACTTAGCTACTTATTTCATTACTCTCTTATACATATTGTACTTATGGTGTCATTGATTGAAAACGATGTACAAAATA